AAAGCAGTATGGAAGTTCCTCAAAAAGCTCAAAATAGATATACGATTTGACCCAGGAATTCCACTTCTAGGAATTTACCCTAAGAATGCAGCAGCCCAGTTTGAAAAAGACAGATGCACCCCTATGTTTATCGCAGCACTATATACAATAGCCAAGAAATGGAAGCAACCTAAATGTCCATCAGTAGATGAATGGATAAAGACGTGGTATATATACGCAATGGAATATTATTCAGCCATAAGAAGAAAATAAATCCTACCATTTGCAACAACATGGATGAAGCTAGAGGGTATTATGCTCAGTGAAATAAGCCAGGCAGAGAAAGACAAGTACCAAATGATTTCACTCATATGTGGAGTATAAGAACAAAGAAAAACTGAAGGAACAAAACAGCAGCAGAATCACAGAACCCAAGAATGGACTAACAGTTAACAAAGGAAAAGGGACTGGGGAGGATGGGTGGGAAAGGAGGGGTAAGGGCAGGAAAAAAGAAAGGAGGCATTATGATTAGCATGTATAATGTGGAGAGTTGGGGGCGGCATGGGGAGGGCTGTACAACATGGTGAAGACAAGTAGTGATTCTATAGCATCTTACTACACTGATGGACAGTGACTGTAATGGGGTGTGGGGGAGGTGACTTGGTGAAGGGGAGAGCCTAGTAAACATAATGTTCTTCGTGTAATTGTAGATTAATGATAACAAAATTAAAAAATAAAAAATAAAAAAAAACAGTCATACCATCTCCACTCCTCCTTTTTTTCCCATATCACATTACACCTCCTATTACATGTTTATGTTTTTCTGTTACATGTGTCCTGTGTTGTTCCACAGGACACAATGAGAGACTTTCTTGGGACTCCATCTGCAGGGCCTAAAATAGTGCCTGACATACAGACAACAAATATGTTCAGTGAACAAATTAATGTCCCAGAAATGTAGACTTACTGACAGTGAAGTTGTATTCAGTTGTAGTATATTTACTTATATTTTTAATTATGGTGTAATGATGTCAACAGCAAGAACAAGAAACAAATCACCAAAAGAATCATCATAATAATTGTTATTACTACCACAGCTACCGTAAGAAGCAGCCACCAGATATAAATTCTGTTATGTCCCAATCATGGAATAAACAAACAACAAGTCTGTGATATAGGTATTAATCCCATCTTTGGGATGAGGAAATTATAGATCAGAGAGCTAAAATAAGATGTCCAAGATCAAACAAAGGGTAAGTAAATTGATCCAAAACACAGAGCTCTGACTCCTAAATCTCTAAGGCTAATTTGTGATGTCTAAGAATTAATGGACTAATCAACTCATATCACAAGAGCAAATACACAGCCCATGTCTATAAAGAGCTGGAAGCACAGTACTCGGTGGTTTCTACAACTGAACATTGGGCTGACAAAACGTAAGACATGTTTAAAAATTAAACATCACTTGAGTTTTTCTTCCAAAAAAAAATACCTCAGAGTCACTGACTGGTCTAGGAGATAAATGGAGTTAAAAGTATCAATAACTTAGATTCTTGTCTCCTGGCCTTAAGTTAAAGTATCCAGTGATAACTACAGTGTGTTATTTTTCTCCAGCCCAATTCTATTTTAAGTCCAGCCAAAAAAATTTTCTACCATCGTTCTACTGACCACTCCTTCATTAGCTTCCATTTCCTACTTTTCCATCTAATTCATTCATTCACAATTTTTATATAACTGGTCGAGCTCATTTGTTGTTTCATGAAATGAATATAACTGATTCTGTGTGCCAGTCATGGTTTCTTAGTCATTAAGTCATTACTTCCATCCACACATTTCATGCTTCCTGGGGAAACTGGCACTCACGTGGAGGCTTAATGCTCGCTTCAAATGTCTACATTTATAATCTGTTACAGAATAATTTTATCCATAGGGAAATTCACATTAAAGATATGCCTCTAAGACACTATTATGCATCCTGATTCAAGCAGTTAAAGAGTACAATCAGCCTCACTTTTCTATAATATAAATATTATCCCAATTTAGAACTGACATTAAAAATCAATAACCACTTTAATTCACAAACAAGGAAAAATGCCTTAGAGTGAGAAGACCACACAGTGTTTCTCAGCAATGTTGAGTAGCTAAAAACAAAAGCAGTTTAAGAGCCAAGATGAGAAATATTTTTAAACATTATAATACTGTCCCTTTATACATTCAAAAGCCCTCTGATCACAGCTGCCCACAAACTTAAGCACTTCATTAGACAAATGCACTGTTTTCCATCCTACTACACGTTTCTGCAGTATTTGTCAACTTGACGATTTTTACTTACTGTCTTGGAAGCAGTATGAATGTACTGCATCACCATTTCTTTTTTGATAGCAAAGTCCTTTTCCCGCAATGGTGTCTTCTTATCTTCATTTAAATTCATATCTTCCTGGAAAACACAATTAAAAGGCCTCATTTTAGAATCTAAGTAAAGCAGCAATTCTACACCAACTATGAAAGGGGAAAAAAATCAATAATTTGTGACGGAGCAGCATTAATTGTTTTGGAATGATTTACATGTAGTTCTGTCTGAGAAAAAGAGAGAGAAGAACTAGAGAGACAGAGAAGGTATTCAAATCATTTTCACAGGTAAAACACTTACAAGGTAATCTTTTTAAATGCACAGCAGGCTAGTAAAAATTTTATTCATATCACTATTGATAATTAGTTGAAGATTACCACCTTTCATAAGGTCATTAGGATTCTCAATTTCAAAATATATATGTATTATTTTTTTATAACAGCCGCCACTGAAGCTATCTTGCACGGTTTTTAAAGAACTGTTCCATGTGTCAAAAATTGAATGGTACATGAGCCAACAACCTTCCAGGTTTTGATAGCTTATATCAAATACCTAGAACTGGTCACAGCAAAAACAATGGACACTCTGTAGTTTTGATTGTCTCTCCTTCACCCCTGTCAAAAATATTTACTTGATTTGTTCAGTGTTCTAAGTCATGTAAAAGTCTCACTCATAAAAAGGGGTAATGCCTAAAAATGTAACATTCCTAAACAGTACCAATCAAAATAAGGGTGTAAGTAACCTGGATCTTGCTACAGGCTGAATTCTGACTAAATATACTACAAGTATATATGAATTGCTACCAGGATCTATCAATGAAATTGCTTTAGAAAAAGGTTGTTCTGGCAAAGGAAAGGGAGAGTAAGGTAAGACAGAAATGGCTAAAGAAGGGCAGCTCAAATAGGTTTCCTCCTGATCTTAGCCCTGGGTCATTTGTGATATGCAATGTAAAACACCTGAGTATATATAAACTGCATATCCGGGCGGGAAACAGGTCCATAAAAATCAGGACTTTGGATCACTGATGGAGCCCAGCAGGCTAAATCTCTTCTAAGTTGTTTAAGGGTGCTGCAGTTCATCAAACACTGCAGTTTATGCCTTTAGCTGACTCAGTTTTTGGCTACCAAACCCTTCAAGCACTTCAAAGTCAAAATTCCCTTCATTTCACCTTGATATAAATATTTAAGATCTTAAAAGTTATTCCATTTGACATTCCAATAAAAGGTAGTAATTAGTAATGTCACTCCTGGCTGTTCTAGTTAGAAATATCCTATCAAGTGAATAATGGTTTGTTTTGTATCACTTTTTTCTCCCAGCCAGTGACTCTCAGTGAGCCTTACAAGCACTTAGGAAGCATTATGGAAATGGACTAATCCTAGAGTAAGAATCTGTCCCATGTTCCAAAAAAAGATGAATATATACTCAGAGAGAGACAGAATCATAATAATCTAAGCCTACAGATTTTAACTGAATGAAATTAAATGGAAAATGGAATTAATATGCAAATTGCTACAGATTAAAAACTTTGTACTGTGTGGTTTTAGTATATACTAAATTTTCCAAACAAACAACTACTCCGTAAATTATAGAAACACTGTGAGTTTTTTGTTTTATTTTTGGTCAGCCTTATCATCAATTATGCTCCATTTCTGAAGTTTAGATATCCTGGGACAATACAGCTACAGTATCTGAAACACCAGAACAGCACAACTGTATCAGCCTATAATGTAACCACTGAACTCAAAGTGGCATGAGGCAAAGATTCAACAATGTGACTTTTCTGTACCTTCTTGAGGAGTCATGGCCAATTTTTTATACTGACATACATATTGTCTTATTATACAGTACAGTAAAGCATTATGTTAGCTTTTTAATAATGAGTATAGAGAGTTTATATTATCTACAAAGAATGCCACTGGAAGAAAGTGATGGGGAAGGTAGGGAATAATTGTTATAAAAGGTTCAGGGACCCAAGAGCCCTGAGAACCTGCATTTTAAATTATCCTCTGTATTTTCATTTTATTTCAAATCTTATTTATGGCCAAATAATTTCCAGACTCTTTAAGCAGCAAATTAAATGCTTATTCAATACATAATACTAAAAAAAACAGAAAGCCCATTTGTCATGGCTGAAATCAAAATTTCACAGTTGTAAAGTCGAAAGAAAGAAAGGCTATTCCTTTACTTCTTGGAAAGTTATCTTCAAAATGACATGAGCTCGAGGGCAGAGCCAAGATGGCAGCGTGAATAGAGCAGCAGAAATCTCCTCACAAAACCACATAGAATTATGAAAATATAACAAAGACAACTTCCTAAAATAGAGACCAGAGGACACAGGACAACATCCAGACCACATCCACACCTGTAAGAACCCAGCGCCTCGTGAAGGGGGTAAGATACAAGTCCCGGACCGGCAGGACACGAGCGCCCCTACCCCTGGGTCCCGGCTGGTGGAAAAAAACTGGAGCAGTTTTTTCCTTTTTTTTTGGCAAGTGCTTTTTGAAAGCCCTAAAGGGACAGGGACCCCAATACTAGGGAAACAGGGCAGTAAGGCCGGTGAGCGGGTGCCAGACACCGGCGCCTGAGGACAAAGAATATCATGCGTTTTTCCCTTTTTTTTGGCAAGTGCTTTTTGGAAGCCTTAAAGGGACAGGGACCCCAATACGAGGGAAACAGGGCAGCAAGACCGGTGAGCAGGTGCCTGAGACCAGTGGACAAAGAAAATCGTGCGTTTTTCCCATTTTTTTTTTTTGGCAACTGCTTTTTTGAAGCCTTAAAGGGATAGGGATCCCAATAGTACGGAAACATGGCAGCAAGACCGGTGAGCAGGTGCCTAAGACTGGCACATGAGGACAAAGAAAATCACGCGTTTTTCCCTTTTTTTTGGCGAGTGCTTTTGGGAAGCCTTAAGGGGA